TTGAAGACGCCGGGAGGCTGATCGAGAAGCGATTACGAAGGCGGTGGATGTACGAGTTGCCCTGCGCTTGAGAAACATACCGGAAGTGTTGAAGAATGAGGTACAACGTGTGGTACGGGAGATTATTCCCGATTTAAAAGGCAAGGCAAAAGTCGTTGAGGAGAACCCCTCTACTTCGACCTCCGCAGAAATACTAAACGCTGTGGAAGCTATCACCGGCGATACCGAGAACTTACACATCTCCGAGAAGCGGAAGAGGGGCGAAGATGTGCCGGTGGGAGACATCCCTCTCGTCACAACCCCGGCTAAGCGCACAAGTAAGCGGACAACGGTACAGCCTCTTCGCCTCACGGAGCGACTACGTGCACACAACACACAAATGAAGACCGTGCATGTACGTAAGACACGCAAAGCCTTGGCTAGCATGAAGGCGGCGTTGAAGGATACGCAGGTTGAAAGACTGCAATTTCTGGATTCCGAGGGAAGGGAGTTGATAAACTTGCACCACGATGAGATCAAGGTCATGTGTGGACGCGAAGGTGTGGCCTACAAGACGAAGTTGCAGGCTATTTTCGACCTGGCCGATCGACGAGCAGAGATCAAGTTCGGACCGTTGACCCCTGAAAATTTTGTTATCAATCTCACTTCGGAATTCGATGAGCAGGCAGTTGATGACGACGCGAACTGAACACTGTTTAGCTTCGAAGAAATATGTGAACTATGTGAGGTCGTGGTTAGCTATCGTGGTAAGTATCCCTCGTCGAATAACGAAGTTGAAACACTGTATAGACTGTTAGTGCTACGCCTGGCAGTATCTGGGAAGATTAGATGGTTGGAGAAGTGTGTACCTGCTTGGTTAGACCTATTCAGTCTATACGGTCTGGATTTCTTGAACTTACCGAGCTGCGTCTATGTCATTACATCTCCGGTATGCAAATCACAGTATGTTGGGCAGACGGGAAGGTCCCCAGATGTTAGATGGAGGGAACATATTTCGGTATCGAACAGAAGAGCGAAGAAAACGCATTTGTATCGATGGTGGGCTTCTTTCGGCTTTGAGTCGTACGTACTGCTACCTGTAGCGCACGGGATTCAGGAAGATTTACTGACTTTGGAGAAAGTATATATCAATCATTGGTCACCTTTCCTGAATACTGCTGGTACGACGAAACATAGTAAGAAGAAGGTAAGGAAAGGGAAGAAGGAACGGAGACGGAATAGAGGAGTAGCAAGTGCGAATGGAAGAGCAACCGAAGGCGTGCGACCGATACGAGTGAGATGCGGCGATAGCGAACCTTGGACCATGAGTATCTTCGATAGCCTGCTTGAGAAAGATAGGAGTGGAACCCGTTCTTTTGCTTTGCAATCTAGTGGGGGATGCATTTGGTGTGATTCCTGGAGGAAGATTCGAAAGACTTTTGGGAAATCGGACGTTAGAAGTAAGGGACAACAGTCTCAACTGAAAGACTGTAGATCTTGAGTCGAAAGTGGCGAAAGTATCGAGATCTCTTACCTACGTAAGTGGCGACCAAGGCAGAACAGCTACAAACCGTTTTTGGTCTCTTTGTTGAAGAATCCGCGAAGGATCGATAAGCTGAGGCGTTGGGATTTAGCGTCGTTGGATTTGCTATTTAGCGCAGTAAAAGACTTCGATAAAAAAGCCACTCGATCTTATCTACGTCGGATTATCTCGCGAATGGTTCGTGAAGGTTTCGGTTTCAATTTCTCGGCTGCTCCGGTTTTCCGCTTGTTATTCGACGATCGTGTGAGATTGAATGAAGTACGTAGAGTGGTGAATGAGAAGCTAAGTAAACAGACTCTTCCACCTTGTGTGATACGCAGAGCACGAGCTAAGGTCCTAATAGTTTGGACTAAGAACCCAAGCGTTTCAGACTTATTGCACAATCAGCGCAAGTTTGCACGCGCTGATGTGGTAACCTGTTCCTGCACAGGTTTTCCTTACCCACGGGTAAGAGGTCACGTGCGATGCCGAATGCATGAGGTCGAAGGGATTCCGGAATTGATGTGGAATGCTGGGAACATACCGAAGGCTCAACGATCTGATCGATTGGTTATGCTCCAGGAGGAGATTTGTGAAGGTTTCAAATCTTGGGTCAACATCAAGACCCAGAGAGTTGCCTGCGACACAGTGGAATTGGAGAAGTGTATGCAGAAGGTTGTGGAAACCGAGGCGGGCTATCTTCGCAGAGACAAAGTGCTGGAGATCAGGGAGCGATTCAGGGGTTTGGTACTCACCCCTCTGGATCGTAACCCTGGGGAGACCTTAGTGATTTGTCCAGTTCTGTTTTATGAGGGGATGAGGGATTTGTTCATCCGGAATGATGGATATGTGCCTTGTGACAGGGATGAGACGAAGATTTTGAAGGAAATGAAGCTGCAGACTAAGATGCGAGGTCTGCAGAAGTTCGCCAAATGGGACAACAAGGGGAGTATCGGCTACGCATACGCGATGCTGAAACACAAGGACCTGGAGCGCTATCGGCCGATATGCCCGACATAATCTGAACCAACGGTAAGAACATGCCGGGCGGCCACAAAGGCTTTGAACCACCTCCTGTACAACCTTCCCCAAGACTGGCACTATAATTTGAAGGATGTTACACTATTGACTGACAGACTGGATGGGATCAACAAGAGAGCCATGAAGATGAAGATTCAACCCGCCATTGTTGCAAGATCATACGACATCAAGGATATGTTCAGTCGTTTACCACACGACGACATTATCCGAGCAGTTGAATGGCTAATTGATTTCCATAGGAAGGAGGGGCGGGAGTTTGTACGTGTAAATACACGAGGAAGAGGGGCGACTTTTGGTTTGACAACTGGCTTTGACCACTGGAGGTTGATTCGTTTTGATGAACTGTTGGCCTTTGTTCGTTTTGAATTGGAACATACTTACACCTTTGCGTTGGATGTCTTGTTGCAGCAAATCGTGGGAATTCCAATGGGCAAAAGTACAAGCCCGCCATTGGCCTGTATTATGTGTGCCCATGCCGAATTCAATTTCATGATGGGCTTGGGCCCCCTGCGGCGTTGGGTAGCAGGGATTCGATTGATTGATGACGTAAGTTTGTTTGTATTGGACTCTGGGCTTGACAAAGAAGTTGTGCAGAGGATCTGGCATGATTTTGAAAAATGCTACCCTGACAATCTCTCTTTGAAGCGGACTGACGCTGACCAAAGAAGGTGGGATTTCTTGGGATGTGAACTGCGCATTGATGACAGGACGTCAACAGTGTACTGTGTTCAAATGTTGAAAAATGAGAAGAGGATCTGGGATGATGAGGTTTTGGAATTAAAAAACGGACAATTCTTCCGATCATGGGGAAGTAAGGCACAAAAGAGTGTCGTTATTGTGAGTCGGCTGCACAGAATCGAACGTAATACTTCTGCAAGGGAAGAAATCCCTAGCCGAGTCATTACGATGGCACGAGAACTGAGGATCTTGGGTTTTCCGGAAGATTTTGTCATTCAGGTTCTGAAGCGGTTCGCCAGAGGGAAAGATGAACCATGGGGGTTTACGGTTTGGTTGATGAGTAGGCATCGTTCGTAGATAGGTGTCGTGGGGTTTCTCAATGCATTTAGCTAGAGGAGTTAATGGAATAAAAGACCGGTGACGAAGTAGGAATAAGTTTAACCATGCCTGAGTTGGTTTTGTGTTTGGTATGATCTGTAGTGACAAGGGATGTTCCTAACCGAGCCGGTTGATTTCTGTGTCTGGTATGATTTGTAGCGACAGGGGGATGCTTTTAACTGAGCTTGTTGTGATTTTGTGTTTGATATGATCTGTAGTGACGGGGGAGGCCCTTAACCTTTCGGGTACTGCGACACTGGTACGTGTGTCTAGGACTGAGCCTTTTGTGAATTGGGTCGGTAGCATATTCGAACCGATGACCTGTGTTGTAGGATGTGGACTTGGAAGGCGATGTATATTTTCCTATCGCATAGTAAGTCTCGAACAGCGGACCGGTTCTATAGGATTTCGAAGGCCTCTGTCGGTTGGTAACCCGCTGAAAGGGAGTTTGAAGAGGGTACCTCTGTTTGCATAGTACTTAGCGGGAGTTTTGTTTTTCATATTGGCGTGTGGAAGGGTTGATGGTACTAACTGGTCCGAAAAAAGGCCAGGGGTACCAAGGGGACCGTCCGGTCCTCTCGGAGATAAAAGCAATGATTGAACTGTCGTTTTCCTCTTTTCGGGACCTACGGGCGTAGTCGGCATTTCCGGGATGCCGGAAACGACGGAGGTGGGTTAGTGGTGGAGCGTTTTACGCATGGTGTGTTTGGAGGGAGAAACCCCCCGAGGAGGATCACCTGGCGGTGATCGAAACCGGTCGGGGAGCCACTTTCTCGGATGTGACGATAATTCTCAATCTATTGCTCACGACTACTTGTTGTTGCATGTGTATCATGTGATGATTGAAGTTTTGGATTTTTCATCCTGTCGTAACATATACCTTTATGAATTAGGAGTCTCGTTAAAACTATAGCTGAGGGTTTAGGGTTTAGGGTTTTAGACAATCAAGGCAATAGGGTTCAGACTGGTAGGGATCGCATGAGGCACATGGGCGGGGATCAGAGTTTAGACAGAATTGGCAGCCTTTGTAGCGTCCAGGCCCTTGCTTGCCATTTATGTTCTATCTGACAGGCCATTATAGTGGACCTGAGAGGAAAGGGAAAAGCACGGCAAGCTGACAGTCAATCCTCCATGATGCTGGAGTAATCAATGCTGGTCAGGGTTCCTTCAGCCAGATGGAAGGAAGCGTATGTGGGTTCATGATGTAATATTTATACTGACTTGCCGGTGGAACAGGAACCGGACTGATGCTCCCCAGAATGGAAATGAAACAAGGACCATGAGGACCTGTTTTTTGTTTAAAAAAAAAAATAAAAAATCCCGGGACGGACAGGAGAGAAAGTAGAATTTGGCTACCGTCTTCACCTGAATAGAATGCCCGACAATTATGGTCATATTTGTACTGGATGTTGCGTCAAATAACAGCTATGATGACCGGGGGTTCTGCGCGGGTGAACATGATAGTACCTGATAGAAATTTTCCAGCAACTCCGGTAGGCTCAACGGAGGTCCAGTAGGTTAGAAGAACCTGGCAGCTTCCAAAAAGATCATGAGTGGCCAGGTTCCTTACCTATATGGCAGGTAGGTTTGATTAAGGCCGTGAAGTAGGATTGCGGGCTGCAACGATGTTCTGTCCGAAAGGTTGGAACTTCTAGCAGGCCTAGCACACTGGAGGATGTAGTAGTACCGCAGCCAAGGGAGGCAGCACATTACCTGGCAGTCATGCTACTGCTCCACAGAAAGGGTGAAGTGAAGCAGAGCTTCTGTTGAACGGTGGAGCTGGAGGGTGAGGAAGAAGACCTCCTTGACTAGGGAGGAGTAGGAGTACGGTGTAGGCCTAGGCTGTGGAGGGAGTTCGAGGGTGAAGCACATCATGCCATGCTATGGAAAAGGGTAGACGAAGGGTGTAGAGGTTGAGAGAGGTGGAGAGAGAGAGGAACTGACATGGGAGGCTCACCTTTGGCTATGGTGGACCTTCATCTCCACGTAGTTGGTTGGCGCTGCATCTAGAAGGCCCCTGTGTGGGTACCAACTGGTCTTGGACTTCATCCGAGGGTGTGGCTATGGTGGGATCAGACGGGAGAGGCATAGTAGTAGTTGAATTGTCCTTTGGACATCCGTGATGAGCATAGATGAACCGCTATAGGAAGCTCGCTCTGTGAGGTTGGGGCTGAAAGGATGGCTCTGTGAGCGCTGGTAGTAAGGGGGAAGACTCAGACATGATTCCTGTTCATTCATTCATGCATTGTTGTAATTGATTGATTTATTTGAAGTGGGGGAGGAAGGTAGAAGAAGATGAGAGGGAGAAGAAGTGAGGGGGAAGACATTGGTTTCAACTTGTGTAATTCTCCTTCTTCTTCTATCCTCTTGATTCTATTCTGCTCTTTACCCTCTCCACTTCCTCTTTTGAGTTCAGCAAGTCTTGCATTTCTCACATTTGAATTTTGAATTATGGATGTAGTAGGATCATATTAAAAAAAAACAAAAAAAAAAGGATCATAACAGTACCCTGGAAGGGGAGGATTTACCTCTGCTCCAACCCTGTCTACTCCTCAAGCCTGAGAATACAGCGTAGTCTTTTCTCTCTGCCACTCTGCTGTCAACCCATCTGGTTCTCTGATATTCCGTTGTCCTCCATAGTACTAGCTGGTTCTCTGAGCCTTCATTTCTTGATGAGCGATACTGATCCTGGATTACCTTACCCCTAGGCTCAGGAATATCTCAAACGAGGGAGTGTTTCTGTGGCCCTTGTGGTCTCTCCTTGTCTGATTGATTTGTGTAAACGATTCCTATATACTATTCTCTTCAGTCCTTCTCCTTCCCCTAATTCCACATTCTGTTGGAGGGGCTTCTATCATCTATTCCCTCATGCTTGTGTGTTCCTTAGTAAGGGTAATTATCCAGTCTTTTACGGTCACCTTCTAAATCCCCTTGCCGAGTGTGGCGTAATTTATCTTCGGCCAAATGGAACAAATCGTGTGCGGAGTTATCAATGCTGATCAGGGGTCCTTCAGCCGAACGGTAGGAAGCGTGTGTGAGTGAACTACGTATTTTATGACTTGCTGGGGGAACAGGAACCAGATTGAAACTCCCCAGAATGGAAAAGGAGCCACGGCCATAAGGACCTGCTATATGAAAGGGGGGAAAGAAACAAATGCCAGTTGCTCTTTGTCAATTCCAAGTACAGTTAGCCGAAAAAGGATGACATTCTGAAGAGTCTGCACAGACAGGAAGCCAAACAGCCGGAATAACAAACATGTTCTGTTTGGCAGGCCACAGCAAAGAGGGATGAAGAATTCAAAAGGCTGCAGGAAGCAGTAAGGACGAAATGCCGAAGCAGGGAGGAAAGCATCAATGAACTAAGGTGTCTGTTTCTGAACTCGATTGACCAGCTTTCCTGGAACTTCTTCTCATTATAACTTTCAAAATGCCGGGGCAAGCATGAAATCATCAATGGGCTAAGGTATCTGTTTCTGAAGTTCAAACCTGTGCTGCTCCGCGGGCAGTCAGAGCAGCTGCTATCTGACCCATCGAGGCCCAAGGTTCAGGCAGGGTCCCAGGGAGTGCTAGTGCAAAAAAGTTGAAAAAAACAAAAAATAAAAAAACAACAAAATCTGGGGAAAGACTTTTGCAACAACCCACGGTTCTGTAGCAACCCACGAGTTGTACCATAAATGGTTAATGTAAATGTTGTGAAAGGATTCACACGCTGCCACAGTATGTCAACAGTACCGTGTCACATTTTGTTTTGTACATCTGTACAGGACAACAGTGCCGTGCCCCATTTCCGGTAGGTACTGTACAGGACATAATAGTCCAATAGGATAAGACCGGTAGGAACAGTAGAGGATCCTAGTAGCCAGTAGGAGGGAGTCACCACGTCTCCAGTCCTGGTCCCATTGCAGCTCTAAGGGCCACGACAGACCAAATCTCTGTCTGCCGCGGCAGGAGCTTGCACGAAGAGTCCGGAACCACGTGGGAGGTAGAGGCACAGGTACAAAAGGGATATGTGGAAGCACGGCTGCTTTGCTGGGTGCCAAGATCTTGGAGTGTGAACAGAGCTGTGGGAGAGTAGTCAACGGCGGGCGCCATAGCTGGGAGCTTGCATAAGGGGGGAGAGAGAGAGAGAGAGAGAGAGAGAGAGAGAGAGAGAGAGAGAGAGAGAGAGAGAGAGAGAGAGAGAGAGAGAGAGAGAGACCCAATCAATCATAGAAAGGACCACTTCGCCCTCGATTTACTTCATTAGTCATTTATTCCTTTTTTTTTTTTTTTTTTTTTTCAAACTTCATTTGAAATTATTGTAACTCAAAAATACTTTGGAAGTAATTAATTATTTTTCAACATTTCTTTTTCAAATTTCGAAAATATTTTTAATTAATTCTTTTTCGAAAATTTTGAAAATACGTAGATTCGACGTAGAATGAATTATTCTTTCTGGGCATTTCTTCCTCGAAATTTGAAAATAATTTTAATTAATTCTTTTTTGAAGTTTTTAATTTGAAAATATTTAAGAATTAAATAAATATTGAATTCTTTTTTTTTTCGTAATCCGAAAATACGTTAGAATTAACTTAATTCTTTTTCGACATTTCTTTGAAATCCAAAAATAATATGTGAGGAATGAGCCCTCAAGTAGGGGCCTTGCCATGATGTACATGTTCTGGGCTAAGGCCCCAGTAAGCCTAGTGCCCGCCCTAAGTGAAGGCGGGCCAGCAAATCAACAAGAGCCCTCTCAGCCAACATTTCACGAAGTGGGGTCTATACAGTTGCAGCACGCCAGTTGGTTGGAGTGCACCGAGTCTCGGATTTCAGCAAATGCTGAAATGCCCAGGGCCTCTGAGTTAGTTAGGCCCTGGGCACTCGAACGTGAGGCTGACAATGCATGCTGGGTAGAGAGGCCGAAATGCCAAAGGGAAAAATTGGCCCACTATCTGAATCTGGCTGCAGGCCTTGAGAAGAGAGGCGCAACTGCATTGCTCCGGGGCCCAACTGTATCAGGAAGGCTTCAGCCTCTGGGTCCCGGTCGCAGGCTGAAGGGAGGCCGCCCACTTGCTGCATCGGGATATAGGCAAGCAGGGCGAGGCAGCGGGGACCTTGGCCAATGCTGGCATGCGGGCACGCTGCGCAGATGCAAGTGTGCTGCGCTAATGCAGAGCAGCGCTGCGCTAAGAAGAAGCAGGGCAGTGCTAGGCGGTAGGGCGCTGCCTGCTTGCGGAGCACTGGCGGCCATAGCCGGGCCGCATGAGGGTGCAGGGGAGGTGAGGGCGAAGGTGGTACTTCGGAGGTGAAGGGCGCTGTGTGGGTAACAAGGGAGAGTGTGGGGAAGAKGACACGTACCTGGTGATGGTGGAGGTCTGCATTGGGGTTGACATCATCACTCGCTGGTAGTCAAGTTGTCTGGTTGCTGTTCATTGCTGTAGTTGTAGGATAGGCTGTAGAGTAGATAGGGCGCCTGRCGCCATTCACAAGAGAGAGCTACATTTGGGTTATGCTGTTGGTGTTGCCCTGKTGGGCATGGACATTGACTCACGATTCTTCTGTATCATTCTCAATKGGATGGTTACTCGGTTCCATGTGCTATCTGCTTTGGCTTTGAATACTTG